ATATATATACATATATATATAAATATATATACATATATATATAAATATATATACGTGTATCGAAAATAAGCATATTACATAAAATGATTTCCTTATATGCTTACATTTGTGTATTAAAAACACACTTTACGTTTCCAACAACATATCAAAATATTTCAAGTATTCACTCGCAAACTTTTCCAGCAATACCCCTTACGCTTAACAAAGCAATAAGCAGGATTGCGTCAAACCAAGTAAGCTAAAGCAAATTGAAGACCTAACAGAGAAAAAAACAAAAACAGAAATTTACATACATACCAATATGCATTTTAATTTACAAAAAATATATACATACGTACATACAATATACCACATATTCATATGCACACATACATTTTTACATATATATACTTAATCTAACAATAACCATATACATATATATTTGAAAATACATTTTATATAATTGCCAAGAGCAATACATATACTACATACATAAATTCAATTTTATCTATTTTAATATACGTGTAGAAGATTATAAATTGATACATATATACATAAGTACATACGGTAAAATATCGGCACATTACCAATTGCGATTTCTCGCTCTCTCCGCACAGTGTTCATACATATATACAAGTACATAAATTTTACGAGAATACCTGCGGTCAATTATTCTCCTTTTCGCGGTCTTTTTGAACTGCGTACATACATACATACGTACTTCGCTTCAAAGTACACATTGGCAAATATTCCGCAATACCCCTTGTTCTTTGTTAAACAAAAACAAGTAGGATTGGGCAAAACATAATATAATACATACATACATATGTACAAAGTGCATTGATCTCTAAGACGAGCTCTCAATTGCGCATAACGACAAGTACATATGTATCAGCTGATCCGCTTATAAGTAGGTATACCCTATAGGAATTACGGACGCATAATACATACAAATAGAATTAACAATAAAAAACATTTGCGTTTATTAAGAATAAATTAAATAATATTAAAAAAAAAATATATATATAAACAAAAATCTTCTTTTCTTAAAAGAGTTTTCAATATATTTATTACACTGAAAATATTTTAATTTATTTCGGCATAGCTTTTTAAATGAGCTCAGACTCAAAAGAATCAAAAATATCGCAATTGTTAAAAGTACCAAAGATGATTTCAGATGATAAAAGTCCATGTACACCTGCTAGAAGCTACACGCTCAAAGTAAGGTACTACAAAGCAAAAGAGGGGGTTAAAGACATTTCTTACACTAAACTCATTGCTGAGAGTGACAGTCTAATACGATACTGCACTCGATTTTCATCTTCGCCGACTCAAGAAAATTCTGTATCGGTATTAGAAATCAAAAAAGACAATCTAGACAATTTTTGGAAACGTCTCCAAGTTGCATATGACGCAATCGTAGAATCTGACGACTCAGATCTACCAGAAAATTTCAAATCTTCGGCTTACGCCAAATACGAAAACTGCTTAGACCAGTTCGAAGAAACTAAATCAATGATTTCCGATCAACTTAAGCTAATAAAAGCAATTGCACCTACTCTACATCAGCGAGTAGAGCTGCCCACAAGTACAAAGTCAAGAGGCAAGTTCAGGCATCCATCTCAAGGTGCCCGCATGTGACACAGAAATATTTCATGGTGGTTATGAACAATGGCCGTCCTTCAGGGACATGTTTACAGCCGTTTACATGAACCACCCAGAATTATCAAATTCACAAAAACTGTATCACTTTCGATACAAAACAAAAGGTCAAGCAGGCGTAATAGTAAAACAGTTCGCACTAAATGACGATAATTTCAATTTGGCTTGGGAAGCTCTTTAATCTAATTATGAAAATGAAAGAATATTGGTCGATAAGCAAGTGAAGAGTTTATAAAATTGCAATCCACTGTTTCTAATTGCTTGCCGGTTCTATCGACATAAAATATGCCCACAGACAGCTGGGCAGTATTGGGTATATGCACCGCCGCTTTACCAGAAAAACCGTTACTTTTGTGGGAGCAATCGCTCTTATCTCGAAAAAAATGCCCAACGTGGCAACAGATGAAAGACTTTTTAATAACCCAATACGAAATCGCAGAAAGGGTAGATAAAAAAATGGTCAGAACGAAAGCCGTTCAACACGACCTAAATAGAAGCTTCCACAGACCCCAAGTCAGTAGCAACAAAAATTTAAATGGAAGCTTCTTCAGAAATCAAACGTTCACATCCGAACAGTACAAGCAAATGTCATGCGAACTATGTACAGGGGGCATAAGCTCAAATCTTGCGAGAGATTTAAAAAATTGAATATTAACGACTGAAACAATTTTGGAAAACAAAAAGACTTTTTACAAATTGCCTATCACATAAACGTACACTTAAAGAGTGCGAAAGCAAATTTAATTGCGTTTATTGTCATAAACGACATCATTCAATGCTGCATTACAGCACATTTTCCAGCTCACCCCCAAACAGCGCCAATATGAAAAGAGCCACTCTCTGAGGTTTAGTTGCAACAGCAAATCCCGATGTGCGAAATCCTGAAAATTGCCAAGAAGCACCATGTTGCTCAAAGGCATTAAAAACCCAAACGCTACACAGCGAGAATCAAAGTATAGTAACACCGAGGCGAACTGTTTAAACTTAGGGCCTTAATAGACCAAGGATCACAACGACCATTTATAGCGTCTGGGACACAAAATAGTTTACAACTACCAACAAAACTAGCCAATTTTGAAATCACGGGAATGGGCGGAAGAGTAGTCCAAAACTCTATTAAATCTGGCCGATTACCTTAATTTCCCCCTAAGCGGATAAGAGAATTAAAGCAGAAGCTATTGTCTTACCGCAACTAACAAATATGCTTCCCAGCTACCATATATATAGCAAGCATTTGCAAAAGGTTTCACACCTAAAGCTAGCAGGTCCCAACTGCAACACCCTCACTCAAATAGACATTCTATTAGGCAGCGATCTTATACCTCAGATAATACTCGAGGGTGTTGAGAAAATTTCAAACACACTATTGGCACAAAATACTATTTTTGGTTGGATCCTAAGAGCACTAGTTACGGAACCAGTCACAACCGTGACCACTCAGGTTGAGGAAATCTCAAACGAATACCTCAATTCATAATTAAAGAAATTTTGGGAGTTAGAAGAGCTCCCCCCTATATTAATTACAACCCCAGAAGATCAGTATTGTGAAGACTTTTACAAAGCCACAACTACTAGATCAGATCAGTCGGTACGTCGTACGACTACCACTAAAACAACAATTTCCTAACACACTCGCCTTAGGTCACTCTCGCACCTCTGCAATACAGCAGTTTTTAAGTATGGAAAAAAACTTACTTAAAAAAGGTGAACTTAAGCTGGTGATGGCGTGTTAGAAAAATACCTCCATTTAGACCATATGGAGGAAGTAAGCCCATGCGAACAAATCATAAATGGCACATATTACTCATTTTACTTGCCTCATCACGCAGTAGTAAAGCCAGATAAAAAGTCAACAAAAGTCAGAGTGGTTTTCAATGCCTCAAGATCCACTAGCTCAGAAAATTCCTTAAATGATATTCTATTTACGGGACCCACACTCCTACCAGATTTAATGCTCCTCATATTAAATTGGCGTATATTCAAATACGTATTCAATGGGAACATTGAGAAAATGTATCGACAAATACTCGTACATAAAGACGACCAAGATTTTCAGCGAATCATTTTCCGAAAATCTCCCAACAGTCCACTCCGCGACTATAAATTAAAAACTGTTACCTTTGGCGTCAACTGTGCTCCATATCTAGCCATTCGAACACTGCACGAATTGACAGAAAACACCAAGACAGAATTTTCTCTGGCAGACCAGGAGTTAAAACACAAACGCATCTAGACGATATACTGTCTGGAAGTAACAGTCTTCCAGAAGCATACGAGTTACTATCACAAGTGGTAAAAGCCCTCAAAACCGCAGGGCTTCCGTTGGAAAAGATAACGGCGAACCACCCTAATATTTTAATAAATATACCGAATGAAAATTTGTTAGATACTAATTTCCTAAAATTCGAAAAGGAAAGTACAACAAAAACTCTGGGGATCCAATG